ACACGTTATCGCTGTGTGCGTCATCGTATGCCTGCATGTTAGCTCGCCAGGATTGGTAGGTGCGGCCGTACAACTCTGTGTGCAGCGACCGTACAAACAGTGACCAATCATCAACCTCTGTTTAACCTAATCCCCCCAACCTGATCATGAGTGCGTGTACACACTTGATCCGCAATATAGGTCCTGAATAAGCGTGCTTCGTGCTACTCGTCTGTTTCCGTTATAACTGGGCTATAGATTAGCTGGTTCTGGGAGTCTAGGTAGATGTAGGAGGATCTCCAGCTGGTTCTGGGAGTCTAGGTAGATGTAGGAGGATCTGCTATAGAGATTTCTGAGTCAGTCAAGCTTTAATAAATTAGCAATCCGCTACACTACTTACTTTATTGTAATATTTCACGCGTTTATTTTTGTCTGACTCATCCATATCACTCTAAATAGTTTACCGATTTGCCACTATCCAACATCGGGCTTTTGTGATTCACTCTCCTACATTATCACTTTTTAGTTTTCTAAATACGATGATGACAATTCTTCCCTATACTTCTCTAAATAAAAACATTCCTCCAAATTTGTGACATTTTAACCTATTTTCTCAATTTTGCGGTGGCTTATTATAAGTAGGAGTTCTTCATCTGCTGACTGACCACACCTAGAGACCCGTCATTTAACCATATTAAGTGAATAAAAGCAACCTTTGACACGCAATGCAAACTACTCTGAGGAATATCGAAAGAAAATTCGTGATATTAATAAAACCCATCCAATCTATTGATTAGTTGATTAGCTGTTAAGTAGTCATAAAATAGACCTCAAAGTTCATTTTTGAATGCAGGTATTTGACTTCTTACAATTCTTGCCTAATTCCAAAATATTTATTCATGATCATAATTCAGTTGGCAGTTTGATGCCTTTCCTTGCTCTTATTCCTATGCGTGACTATGCTAATGACTGTTTATTTGAAATTCCTCATAATTTAATTCATCTTTTGGTTCCCGCGTATTTTGCATGGGTATCACAATACTCAGTGATCAAAATATTCCATTATAAGCTAAGTACCGAATGCCTCGAAATTCCACTATGGACAAACTTGCCTATTGAAAACATGGAATAGCCATATCTTCGAGTTCGCAGGAGAACTTCATCGAGATCGTCAGCAGCTACTGCAACGGTGACAGCCGCGAATAAAAACCAGGTGATCACGATTCTAGTCACCATGCTTGGAAGTCGTATTTTAGTGCACTAAAACTGTAAAGAGAAAGCGCCTACAAACGTCATTTATGATCAAATTCGAATTTAATTAATGTACGTTTTTATATAAAATTTGAATCCGTTTCGTTTTGTAAATTTCAATTTCACAAAATTAAAATAAGTTGTTAGTCCAAAATCATAAAAAGGGGTACCATTTTTGGATTTAAAATGGCTCGCAAGTGGAGCATGCAGTATTCAGCATTAAGGCGCGAATAATGTAACATTTTGAAGCAGGCGAAATCATTTCAGTAAGTGTTCAATTTAAATCTTGTGACATTTTGGACAAATAATTTTGGTTATAGAGATGATTGCTCAACTAAAATGAGTACCACAAGTAATGGTACTCTCATTTATTCAAGGCCTTCAGAATTTATTAGTGTCGATAATTTGATTCAATAATGATAATATAGGGAAACAATTTTAGAAAAGCCTGGACTTTTCTCTTAAGTCATTGGTCGATTTCTCTAGATTTAATACCTCGAAATAGTTGACCTCTATTCAGTTCAGTTAAGGACAATTAAATGGAGAAGTTATGTGGAACAAAAGTGGTATGAATACCCGCATCTGATAGCTGCTTTGTCAAACGTGATTTATTAGAGATCAATATTCGGACAAGTGGCTTTAACAATTGTTTGAAAAATATCTTTGGGTCAAGGAAATTTGTTCCAAACTTAGGAAGCACAATACACAAGTACCTTCCTTAGGAACTTGCGTTCAGTCCAATGAAATAAAAGATCAAGCAAATTAGGTCGACTCTGAAATACTCGAAACTGACAATATTCCGAAAAATCAACTTGATTAAAAGACAGGTAACAAATAACTAAAGAATAAAAAATTATACTTAAGATGAAACAATTTTTAGTGGTTTTTATTTATTGCACATTGTTGAGATGATTTCCTTTCACAGAAATATAGTCCTACAGTGAATTTTGCTTTAAAAGGGTAGGTTATACTCAATCTTTCTTTAACAATGTTTC